AAAGGATAATCTGAACAATTTACCCTATACCATGGTTGGGCAATAAAACAATAATAATAATTATCGCAATATATTATTTATTTATTTTCAATAAATGTTTGATTTAAATCATTGAATCACTAATTTTTTCAATTATGATTTTGAAAAAGATTTTACTTAACGTTGAATTTTTTTTTTTTTTTTTTTCATAATTGCTTTAAATGTTACTCGATTTGTGAAGTGATCCACTGTTGACATCAAGTGTTTGTCATGTGCTGACCATAAAGAATAGTTTAAAACCACAATTAATCATCTGGTTTCTTCAACTTTCATGAAGTAGCTAAAATCAGCCTTTAAACTTGAAAGAAATTATTCGTTATCATGATAATTACCAATAGGTTTTCAATTATTTTTTTACCTATTTACTTGAAATTTCATTAACGCTTATTTTTACCTTTTTACCAAATGAACCAACACAGGGAGGAAGATCTTGGGTAGATAATAAATATGAAACAAAATTTCATACTCCAAACCTCTCTAACCTAAATAGAAAATCGGGTTTGAATTCAAACACTATTACTTAGCTTGTTTACTAAATAGTCAATTTTACTTGTTAGTCAATGCTGGTCAATAGAAGAAACCATAAAGTGAATCTTTGGATGGATGGATAAAACACACACTGAAGGAAATGCTATTGACTCTTTTCTCCCATAATGAACATATTTGCATAAAGGCTATAAAAGTATATTTAGCAACACTGACATTTCTTTCTAAATTCTAAGGACTGAGAAAAAATACATTACTCCAATGTCATCACTACCTCCACTGTGTTCTGTCCTATTAATTTAAATGCAGCCTCAAAATAATAACCCAAACAATTTCTGTAAGACAACCAAACATGAAAAATACATAAAAGCAGTACTCACCACCAGAGTATCCAGAGTGTCTATGAGGGTCAGAGAGAACCTATCAGAGAGAGAAAAGCTGTTTACTGGGGATGTTGACTGCTCCTCGCGATAATGTGTGTCAAGAAAATTTAACATATGGTTTATTCAGCATGTAAGCACAATCTGCTTCCGTCAAGTACTCTGGTGTGGTTATGTGTGTGGACCCACGTCTCATTTCTCCGTTTATAGGTTAGATCTCAAGGAAAAAAGGCAGTCCGCTACTCACTTCCCAGAGCGTCGTCTACGTCACCTCGACTGGGTTCAAGCCCACGTACTCTTCCTCTGCATGTCAGTGGCATCAACTCATCTGCTGGGTATGCATGGTCCTGAGAAACAAACACAGGTTAAACAGAAGGCCAGCTCAGTCAGATTAGATCTTAGTTGTCTTAAATTGTACATCAAATTTCATGTTATCCAAAATGAAAGAAGTTGCAAAAAGCCAGTTAGAAGTTATATAAAATGCAACCACCCAAATATATTTAAGTGTAATTATGGTTCCATAATTAACCATTACAGAGAAGCATATAACATCCTATTTTACAACAGATATTCTCTACTCCACATTAGTATGGGCCAGTATGGGCAGGGATACAAAAGGAAAAGATTGTCCTGGTCACCTAATAAGCTGCTAAATCGTCCTGAATCAAATCCAAATATCAAGGCTGCAGCAAAAAGACAACTGAAGTCCTATTTCTGTGAAGGAATCCAGTGGAAATACATAACTTACCATATAATTCTGATATGCATGGTCAAACATCTCGACCACTTGGTTCCTTTGGTAAGGGGAAAACACAGACACCAGTCAGCATGCAAGTCAGGGGAGACCATGTTTGTTCCCATATTATGCTCTGAGGTGCTGTGTTTTTTTCTCAACTCACCTCAACCGGTGCTTCTCCTCCCGTGGCATGGCCTGTCCATGGCTACATAATGCCCCAAGCAGTAATCAACAGTACAGCTGGCATTGTGGTAACTGGGCGATGTTCTACAACTACAGTTGGGCTCTCAGATAGTCACTGAGCAAATACCTAGTCATTACCACTGCCCTAACCAAACAGCTCAAACTAACAAAAACACCTACAATTCACTAACCTACACCATCCCATTAATGTTATACCTCTGAGATCATGTTAAAAGCACTTTTTGCTGATGTAACACCTAGGTATCCACGGGTACAGAAAGCATCATGAAATCATCCTAGTTTGTTGTTTAAGATAAGCCACTTACACTCCATGTGCGTTTCTCAGCAAACACCCAAACAGTCAATAGATTGTAGGAATGTTTCTATTTCAAGTAACCAGATATATCTGGGTGAAATTGATAGATGTAGTGCGCATTAGTGTAATACAAAGCAGCTCTGAGCACTAAGAGCAGATCGGTGTACCACACCTGTTTGCTTTTCCAAGATGCTACCCGGATCTATTGTACACAGGTGAGACACGTCAACATGAAACAGACTAACGTTATCTAACACTGCCCTAAACCCCGATAAGTCAAATGACTCCTGCGATCTAAATATGAAAATTACAATAATGTTATGTTCAAGATGTTGTCGATCAAGAAATGTCCAGCCTTTTCATGTATCAAGACACGTTGTCATATTTAAAACTCATTGTAAACAAAAGTAAGCAACGCCGGGTTAACAGTCTTCGTCTCATTTGTGTTTTTATGATTACCACTCCTCAAATCGTTTAACTTTACGTTACTCCACACAATCCACAAACCAGAAGTCAAACCTACACTCCTTGGAAGCTCCCGTTCATACCTGCTCCTGTTATCACTCTGGTGTATCGGCTGTAAACCTTTTTTAGATATAAGTTAATTATTTCCTCCTCTTGACAGTTCTCTCTCGTCAGCTAGTAGTCAGACAAGCTGCCCAACACTTGGCAGGGTTTAATTAGCCAGTTAGCCGGCGGTGCTAACTAGCCAAACTGGTGACAACGGGCAGGCCGATAATTACGCTACATGACAAGTCGACTAAAACGGCGTCCATTGTTGAGCAGCGGCCCTGAGCGGGCTATCTTTTCTGTCCTTTGGGTTGTAAGTAAATAATTTCGCCGTACGCTGTTGTTTCGCCGAGCTAGCCAGCCTTCACAACCGGAAGCCGTTGCGATGTAAACGTCAACAACATCCGCTTCCTGGAATGACTTATAGTTATACCCTGAGTTTTGCTTGTCAGGTAGTGTTTTCTCGCATGCTAAAACGAATCTCTCTGGCATTTGCAGACGTACGTCTAAACACGGGTCGTATCTTGCTACAAAGCATATATAACCTTAATCTAAGCCTACACAGTTATTTAATGGCTTTAAAAGGTGGAGGCATTGCCTGAAAGTCCAATTTAGGATAACAAAAAACGAAAGCACTTCCTTTCCGATGCGTTATTTTTTTCCCCATCCGGTTTCAACAACTCTGCTTCTGATTGGTTAGCACTCGTTGCCTCCGCTATCTTATTTAACTGGGGCGAGTTCAATCGCAAAACGTTTTGCACCGGTTTGCAACGTTTTCTAATTGAACGACATGTTTCCTTGCAACGTTCTGCAACGACATATGTTTTCTCCCGTTTGGTGGCCCTGTCTTAGGTGTTATCCAATCAGCTGCCACAAGCTTGTAAACACAACGGTGTTACAAACAAGGGGGTAAGGCAGAGATCGGACAGTGAAGCCGACCAAAGCCTGCATGGAGGGGATCCATGTAGGCTCAAAAATTACGTAAAAATCCTATATGACACCCCGTCGCACATGAGAGATGTAACCGTATTGCATAGATTATAAACTCTCAGCAATCTAAAAAAAACTATTCGGCCATCAGTGACGCTGCGTTGGTGTTTCACAGGTGAGCCTCGTAGGTGGGCTGATTAATCAGTGACGATCTTAGTCAGACAAACACACTGAGCCATGAAACTTTTTGTTGGTGCAGCTACCAGAATTGCGGTGTTTCTGCCGTTGTTCTATGTCATTAAAACACGGTTATGCTGCGTGATCATGCGCAGTAGACGCTGGTGCCAACAGGAAGTAGCCCTGTAGTAGTATTTTATTGGTCCAAAACTTGCTTCACTCCTCTCCATTTAAATCAGCGGAGTGGCTTCGTCCAGTAATATACTGTCAAAGACAAGAAAATGCAGTGCGCTTGCATACACAGCAGGGTGTTCAAGCACCACCGTTTCCGTTGAAAAAACGTTTTGCAACGTTTTGTCAGCGCTGAACGTCCCTGCTCAAGGGTAAGGGTGGGGTTAGGTTTAGGGTTAGCCAATCAGAGGCAGAGTAGGGGGCAGTACTTGACACAAAGCTCTGCTCTGATTGGTTTGACTATTTTCATTCGTGTTGCTGGTGTTGCCTTTTGGTGCTGATCTTAAAATCTCGTAAAATTATGTCTCATAGCTTCTGGCGCTTACTTTTGTGAGTACTGCAATAACCAAATATTGGCTAATATTTCATATTAACAATAACTAAGTGTATATTATATTTTTAAACAACTATTAAATAATAAAACAATGATGAAGACATGGTGTGGTGGACTCCCTCTATTCTTAATTTAAATGCAACGCTTTTACTATTAGTAGTAGCTTGTTCGACATACACATAACATTAATCGAGCATAATATATATGCCCTCGGCAAAAGGCCACTTTCTCCTAATTGGGTATTAGCATGGATGTATTTTAAAATCAAGCCTCTAAATAATTTTATTTGAAGTTATTGGAAATACGCATACGTGCTTAAAGGTAAGCTGGATACTTTCTAATTCATCAGTGGAGGAAGACCCACGTTTATTTCCGTGATTTTCATTAATTAACTACATTTCCATTGAAGCTTTGCGGCGTCACATGACATGTATATCAACAAATCCCTGACTAAGGTCCCAGAAAACTAGTTATAGCCTGATTAGTAGAGTCTATCTTCTTCGGTTATTAAATAGCCTAACTTACTGTAACGTTAGATGTCAACAACGCACAGAAGGAAAAGCTCTTACAGGTATGCTGGAGCTGACTGGATGCATTTAAAAGTAGACGGTATTAATTTCCTCTTCATACGTACATCGCTGTAACCTCAATGTTTGTCTTAATATAATTTAACGTTACATATCACGTGTCATGTAAGTGCCTAATGCAGTATTTCTGTAAGTTTGGCTTTCAATAAGATAGTGTGACGCTAAAAGTTATCACTGGGCTTACAACCTTTTCTTCTTTCTTTCGTACCCGTTACTGTGCTCTTCCTATATTTCCCTTTGTTTCTCTCTTACATGCCTAACATGTCTGTATGTATGTCAGGTAGTTATGTCAGCCATGGCTCCTGCTGTTGATAAAAAGCTGACAGGACTGGTTGCAGCTACTTTCACTCCATTCACCTTACAGGGGTAAGTAGCGTCTAGAAACGGCATTCCTTTGTCTGCATTTTTTCCCCAGCATCTGGTGTGTGAGTGTGCATGATACGTTCCACTGTAAAACGTTAAAGTGAGGAATGAGTGTGGGCATTTTGTAGACCTGGAATACTAGGGCCTTTAGCACGTTTGGTATGTCTTTTGCCAAATGTGTAGGCCTATATTTTTTCACATTTTCCCAAAACAGTGAAATCAACCTATCAGAGATTGGACCTTATATTGACTACTTGAAAGAGAAGCAAGGTGTAAATAGCATATTTGGTAAGTTGGTGGATTCTCCTTTTAATATTTAGTCATTGTCTGTGTTCCTGCCTGAATCAACATTGCTATTGCATGTTTTACCTTTTTGGTTTGTAAAAACAGTTAATGTGTTGCTCCTCTGTTAACACCATTAAAATTCCTGACTGGTGAAGAAGTTGCTGTGACATGTACTCAGGTAGGGTTGGTGATACACTGGAATACTACACCTTAGTCAGGTAGTTGTTTGTTTTAGATTACTTTTTACGCATTTGCGTTTTTTTTTTTTTTTTTATTGAAATTGATTCTACATTAAAAGAAAAGTCTACCTTCAATTCCACCACCTACGATTTTAATAAAATTATATAATTTAAAAAATAGTAATGCACCCTAATGCTAACTCAATGAGATTATTGCCCCATAATCCCAATTAAAGGTGCTTTGGGAAGTTATGTTTTCATGTCACTCACCAAAACACAATGTATTCTTGAGGCCTGACAAACATAGTGAATGCATTACCTTTTTTTGTAACAAAATAAATGCAACTGCAACTAAGGATTGCTTTAATTTGCAATTAATCCACTGATTGTTTTCTTAATTATTCTATAAAATGTCCCTTATGCTAGAGCCCAAGGTGACGTCCTCTCATGTCTTGTTTTGTCCAAAAACTTAACAATATTAAGTTTGCCATCATTTATGACAAAGAAAAGCCTGAAAATCTCACATTTGAGCAGCAAATAATACCTAAAATGATTTTCTGTCGATTGATTAATCGAGTGCTTGTTCCAACCCTACTCAAAAGAGACGGCACATACTAAATACTGTCCTAAATATGGTGAATGTTGAGTTTAGTGTGTTGATGCCAAACTCAGTTTAGCTGTTAATGAAAAATATTGCGTCATACTGTACCAGTTTCATATAATTTTTCTGGATAAGGAAAAACCTTGACACGATATTTACTGTCCTGAATTGTCCTCTAGTTATTGTATTGCTCTTCAGTTAACACAGTTTTATCTGACCTTTCTGGCAAAAGAGGGAATATATTGTTTTGTCTCAAGCTTTGCTTAGTATCAACCTCTTACACACATTAACAACTGTCCTTAGAACAGACGCACAGAAAACTTAGATAAGGTAAAAGCTTTTTTTTTTCCTTTTCTGCATTGATCAAGGCTAGTCAGCATTTTCTATCCTTCCTGTTTCCTCTAAACCAAATGAATCATTGCAGTTTGTGCTAAACCACTCCCAGTGTTAACGCTGCATTTCCATTGTTTTCCGGAGCTATCTGTGTGACCATGTTTTTATATTCTTTCTCACTCTCATTGTCTGCGTTACCA